TTCCCAGCTCAAGGCGCATGGCAGGGCTATGGTGGCGGAGCCATGCTGAGCTGGCTAACAGGCTGTGAGCAGTGTCGGCTGGGAGGGCAGGTGCCTGGGTCCCTGTCCAGCAGGACTCCAGCCACTCTTGTCCCTAGCCTGCCCCCAGGTCACCCCCTCCTCATCTCATCTCTCCATCGCAGTGCAGGAGACCCTCCCACCGCCTCACCGCCCAGGTGGGTGTGTGAGGTGGGGGTGGGGTCGGTTCCTGCGGCAGGAGAGGATGGGAGAGCTAGACCATGACTCTTTACCCACCCTTGGATTCTCAGGGGCCCACCCACTCCAGCCCTGCGCCCGCCTTCCAGCCTCTGGCCCCAGCATCCCCGCTACTGTTCTCCCCACTCCTGTCTGAAATGGTGCTCTCCACTCTTCATCTCCCTACCAAGAAGCTGGCAGGAAAAGCAGGGTGGGAAGGGGTCTAGATGAGGGAAATGGGGTCCGGATGAAGGGAGGGGGTCGGATTTCCTCTTGGAATGAGACAGGGCTGAAACCAGGACAGGCGGATACTGTATGGAATGTCAGGCTTTGAGGAACAGGGATGGATCTCCCCGGCCTGTCTTCCCTGCTCCCTGCAGGAGGAGAGGAAGCTTTGATGTGTAGGAAGGTGCTCTGTGTTTTCAGGAAGCTTCTTACTCAAGTCCTGCACCCCAGAGGAGGGGGCCCAGGGAATTGGCTGGAATAGAGCCAGGAGAGGGGGTTCTGCCAGGCCGCTGGCTAGGGGCCCAGATTGAGGGGAAGGGGGAAGGGCCTCTGCCAGGCACCTGCCCTCCCCCTCCCCAGCTTAGCACTGATGCCTCCTCAGCCTTACCTGCCCACCCCTGTATTGTTCCCTGGGTCCTCTCCCCTTTCCTGAGGCTCTGCCCTTGAACCCAAGGCATTCCTTCAAATGACCATGTTCCAGACTCCTGAGTTCTCTTTTCCCAGCTGCTCCATCCAGCTGCTACTAGACTGAGGTAGGGGTGGGGAGTCTGCCAGCCCCTCTAACTTCTCAGAATTCCTGCTGGGTAGTGGTAGAGCAGGGGGGAGCAGGGGCGGAGCAGGTGGGGAGGCTTTCAGTTCCTGGGAGAACCAGAGAGCAGGAAAGGGTGGAGTGTGTGCACCCACTCGCCAAACTGGGCTCTGGCCTGGGAGGCGAGAGGGAGGACTCAGGCGAACAGCTGGATAGGATGCCAGGGGCAGGCGTGGCACTGGCCTTGAGGTTGGTTGAAAGCCTGAGATAAGACACCTGTCGCTGTTGAGTGTCAGGCTCTACTCATGAGGCCCCTGACCTCCCTGTGCCCTGCTGCCCTCAGCCCCCCGCTCTTCCTTCTGTACCTGGACTCCCCTAGGTTTGTGTCCAACACGCACCCCATTCCCCACTTCCCTCCTGGGCCCCTGCACAGAGGCATCTGTACCTTTCCAGGCATGACACCTACTCCCATTTCTAGCAACAGGGTAGGGGTGAGGCATGTTCTTGAGGAGGGGGAAGGGGTAGATGGTGCTATGGATCAGAGCAGCTGCCTGCAGAATCCATGAGAACAACTGCAGGCCTGGTCCCTGCCCTGTCACCCCATCTGAGTTCAGGACACCTGAAATGGTCAGGCCCATCCCAGCCCGACCATCCTGGGGTCTGGGGCAGATGTGGCTGGAAGCAAAGACTTGGACTTCCCTTCCCAGCCCCCTCCACACTAGTTTCCCTTGGGCCTGTGTAACCCCCACCCCCAGACTGCCTTCCCCTTGCCAGGGCCTCCGCTCCCTGCCCATCTCCTGGGAGGAATGAGGGCGTTGCCATGGTGATTGACTGTAGCTGACCAGCTGGGAGGGGGCTGGCAGTTCATGTGAGGGGGAGGGGTCAGGAGGTACTTGTTTGAGCTTAGGGGTTTAGGATGAATCCCTAAATTTGAAGGGAAACAGGCTTGTGCAAAGGATTCTGGGAAGGGGATGAATGATGTGAATGGTCAACTCTCATAGTGTCCCCTTCTCAGTTTTTTCTTGAGAACCCAAATTTTGACCCAGTCTCCCTTTCTCCCTTCCAAATGGCTGAATCCTGACTGCTCTTCCCTCCACTTGCAGATCCCTGGTTCTGCAGTCATTCATCCTATCTCAGCCCTCTTCCCTCTCCTCTCCCTGACACCAGCCCCATAGGGTCCAGTGGTAAGAATCTGGGTCTAGAGACAGACTCCCAGATTTGGATCTCAGATCTCCCACTTAACAGTAGTACAAGTATCTGAACTCTTTGAGCCTCGGTTTCTTTATCTGTAAAATGGGCTAAGAGCATATTTTATCAAGTCATCATTGACTGTAAGATACATCATTATTTATTTCATGTGCCAGTAAAAAAGGAAGAAGCTGCTGCTGATTATAATGATGACATCATCAATCATAGGTGTAGCCTGAGTTCAGAAGCGGTAAAATGTCAAAAGTGTATGTGTTAGAATTAATGAAATATGCTAATTGTACCCCCCACCTTACAGGCTGATGTGAGGTTTAAATGAGGGTTCTATAAATGCTGGCTTTTATAATATCTTGTGTAGCTTGGGCTCCAAAGCCACTCCCAACCCACAGCCCCTTCCTCTGATCTTCCTCTGATCTCCTCTCTCCTCTGAGGCTCCTCCCAGTTCTCTTTTCTCCCCTCCCTCCTCCTCACTCTCCTCACCCCATCTTGCCCACAGAGATCCTGATCAAGGTGCAGGTGTATGTGAGTGGGGAGCTGGTGCCCTTGGCCCAGGCCTCAGTGGATGTGTTTGGGAACCGGATGCTGCTGGCCGCTGGCACCACGGACTCAGAGGGCGTGGCCACATTGCCCCTCAGCTACCGCCTGGGCACCTGGGTGCTGGTCACTGCTGCCCGCCCTGGCTTCCTCACCAACTCTGTCCCCTGGCGTGTTGACAAGCTGCCCTGTGAGTGCAGGGGCAGGTGGGGGGAAGCAGCAGCTGACCCCATCAGCCCCTTCCCAAAATAGTCCTTGGAGGGTGGAGGGAGCAGGCGTTCCAGCAGCTGCTGCCTGGGCTGGGGTACACAGAGGGGGCTGAGGGAGGATGAAGTCACTGGGATTCAGATGGTGGGAGTGCCTGGCCTGGGGGATAGGGGCTTCCTCTGGAGCTAACAGCCCACCCCTCCTGCAGTATATGCCTCAGTCAGCCTCTACCTGCTTCCTGAGCGGCCGGCCACCCTCATCCTCTATGAGGACTTGGTGCACATCCTCTTGGGCTCTCCTGGTAAGGCTGCCCTCTTTCCACTCCCCCTGCCGCCCATGCCAGCTCCTCTTCCTTCTCCCTGACCTGGGTATAGAGAGCTCTGCTCTGCCACATATTAGCTGGGTGCCCTTGGACGAGTCACTTAATCTCTCTGAGCATTAGTTTGTTCATCTATAAGATGTGGATATTGATAGTATGTACATCATCAAATTGAGGTAAGGATTAAATATCATCAGGCATGCAAAAAACAGCATAGAAGGTGGTCAATAAATGTATATTGTTACTGGGGCCTCTCATGGTTTCTATTCTCCCTCTGCTCCTACCGTTAGAATTCCAACTTCCTGCCACCTTATCTTCAGTGGATCTACACATACTTCTTGTGCACCTACTGGGTGGCTGGCTATGTTAAGAGGCCATGAGAGGGTCATTCCACAGGTATAGAACACCTATCAAGTGCAAGGCCTGGAGCAGTCCCGCAGTGGCCCTTGTCTACCCACAGGCTTTCGGTCTCACCCAACCAATACTGCCTGCAGCAGCCGGGCTGTGCCAGGCATTGTGTCTGGTGCTGGGGAGTAATGGTAAGGAACAGCCGACCCGCTCCCCGCTTTGTGGAGTTCACAGACTGGTAGGAAGATAGACAAACAGATCATTGCAAACCCTGAAATAATTACAGAGCAGGCAGGGCAGTGGAGTGGAGGGCGGCTGCATTCAATACCGAGAGGACCCTCCCGTGGGAGTATAGCAGGGCGAGAGGATTTGTTGAAGGGAGCTGTGGGACCCGTGGGCTCGGGAGTTGAAGGGGGAGCAGACGCACCCTCATGGCAGAGGAATCAAGATGCAGGGGCATAAGGGAGCCATGAGGTGCAGGGACTGCTCTGGTCTGGCTATGCAGGAGGGGTGCCTGGTGCAGCCTGGTTGCCCAGCCAGGCAGAGGGTGGACGCCATCTGGTTAGTACTAGGGAGCCACTGTGGGTGGAGGGGGAGCCTCCCCTCCTCAGTTTATATTCTTAATTAGAGCCCTTGTCCTCAAATTACCCTTTTTAAAACTTTATTTTATTTATGTATGTATTTATTTATTTATTTATTTATTTATTTTTGGTGGGTAATTACATTTTTCTTTCTTTCTTTCTTTCTTAATGGGAGTACCGGGAATTGAACCCAGGGCCTTGTGCATGCTAAGCATGTGCTCTATCACTCAGCTATACCCTCCCCCACCTCAAATTACTCTTCTTGTTTGCTCATCTTCCTCTTTCTGATCTTGAACCAGAGGCTTCTGAAATGTCTTTGCAGGTTTCTAAAACACCAAGTGAACCTGTTGTTGCCCCCTAGCTTAAAGCGTCCCCACGGCTCCCACTGCTTTCGTGCCCTCCAGAACCTGGCGTGTGGGCTGCTGCCTTGCCTGCCTCCCACTCCAGCCACCCGACCAGCAAGCCGCCTTGTGACCCTGGGCCGCTCTCTGTCAGTCCTCCAGGAAGTTCCTTTCCACTTTCTTTCCTGGCTGAGTCTTACTCATTCTGCAAGACTCCACGGGGCCTTCCTGAGCTGGGCAGGCCAAACTCCCCTCTCATCCTGCTATTTTAATAACAAGGCAGGATGAACTGGTGGGTGAGAGGATGGGCCCTGGCACCAGACTGTCTGGGCTTCAGTTGGGCTCCAGGATTGTGACCTTGGGCAAGTTACTGAATTTCTTCCACCTCCATGGCTGCAGCTATAAAATGGGCATGTACCTCAGGGGCTGTTGTGCTAATTGCCAGGGTTAGTATAGGTAACCTGCTTACAACAGTGCCCAGCATATCTTAAAGCTTAGTAAATGTTAGCTATTACCATATTATATTGGAATTCTGTTTATACATCCCATCCACCCCAAGACAGACAGATATACACACACACACACAGGACCAAAGCTGTTAAATGCAGTAGCCAATAGCCACATGTGGCTATCTAAATTTGGATAAATTAAAAATTCACTACACTTTTTAGAATTAAAAATAAATGCAGATCTTGAAAAAAAATGCATTTCTAGCACAGGGAACTATGCTCAATATCTTGTAATAATCTTTAATGGAAAACATACGAAAACAAATATATGTATGTATATGCAAGACTGGGACATTTTACTGTACACCAGAAATTGACACACTGTAAACTGTATTTCAATTTTAAAAATAAATAAATAGATAAATAAATAAATAAATGCAGTTCCCCAGTCATAATAGCTACATGTCAAGTCCATAATAGCCCCTGTGTGTCTAGTGGGTCCTGTAATAGGCAGCACAGATGTAGAACATTTCCATCCATAGCAGAAAGTTCCAATGGGTAGTGAACAGTGCCACCCTAGACTATGAACTTGAAGGCAGGGAATTCAGCACCTAACACAGTGCCTGCCACACAGTAGACAATAATAATTGTTTAAGGAGCTGAACATCATCATTTTATAAGTTAATATGGAAACAGTGTTTCAGAGAGAGCAAGTAACTCGCTCAGGGTCACACAGCCAGGGCTAGGAGACTTCAGGTCCATGTCCCTTCTAGGTCAACATTCTAAGACTGGCCAGTTCTCTCCCTAAATCTCCACCCTCCCTGGCCTTCCCAAGTGGCTTGAGCCATTGATCCCCCTTTTCCTTAGACTCTTGCTTTTTGCTCTGGTCCTCGGGGAGCCTTGTCACCGGCCAGGTCACTGCAGCCCCTCTCTCCATCCAGGTGCCCGCTCCCAGCCCTGGGTGCAGTTCCAGCGCCGGGCTGCCCGCCTGCCCGTCAGCTCTACCTACAGCCAGCTCTGGGCCTCGCTCACACCTGCCAGCACCCAGCAGGAAATGCGGGCTTTCCCTGCCTTCCTGGGCACAGAGGCCTCCAGCTCAGGTAGGCTGGGTGCCAGTCATGGAAGGGATGTTCCCCCCATCAGGATTTAAGTCCTCAACTCTTGTGTCCCTTTCTCCCAGGCAATGGCTCCTGGCTGGAGCTGATGCCTGTGGCTGCTGTGAGTGTGCACCTGCTGGCAGGTAATGGGACCGAGGTGCCACTCTCAGGCCCCATTCATCTGTCCCTGCCTGTGCCCTCGGAACCTCGTGCCCTTGCCGTGGGCACCAGCATTCCAGCCTGGAGGTTCGACCCCAAGAGTGGTGAGTGTCTCAGGGGGATGCAGGTGCTGGAGTCTGGGGAAAGAAAGTGGGACTTAAGTTTCAGGACACTGAGTTTGATGAAACCCCTGCCTCTCCCAGGGCTGTGGGTACGCAATGGCACTGGCGTGATCCGGAAGGAAGGCCGGCAGCTCTACTGGACCTTCATCTCCCCCCAGCTGGGGTACTGGGCGGCTGCCATGGCTTCCCCCACGGCTGGTGAGAGTGGGGGGACAGCAGGGACAGGAGGCAGTGGTGGAGGGAGAGGCTGGGAGATTGGACTCCTGAATGGCAGGAGGGACATCCACACCTGAGAACGCTAAGCCCTTGCCTGGCACAGGGCTGGTCACCATCACATCGGGCATCCAGGACATTGGCACCTACCACACCATCTTCCTGCTCACCATCCTGGCAGCCCTGGCCCTGCTGGTGCTCATTCTGCTGTGTCTGCTCATCTACTACTGCCGGTGAGTGCCCCTCAATCCCCTCCTACTGCCTCCCAATCCCCCAGCCTTCTCTCATCCCTGGCACTGACTGAGGCCTGCTCCATGTGTGGTCTGCTGGGCACTCTGGCCCCAAATATGCATAGAATACAATTTGGATCCTTAAGGCTCTGACAGGAAAGCATTGCATATGCACGTGCAAAGACCCAGACTGGTGGCCTCAGAGAAGTGGGGGGAGAGAAGGCAGGAGCTGCAGACCAGGCCCCTCCCTGCAGCTGCTCCTACCACACCAGATCTCACTTCCAGGGGCCCTCAGGCCAGATATGTACCTGTTGGCTTAGGTGCTCCTCCCTGGCTCTCACTGCACCTGGTGTGTGCCAAGGAGTGCAGTTTACTCCTAAGGGGACCCAAATGGACACAACTGCTGGCCAGACCTCCCACAGACACTCAAGCTCTTTCCACAAACCTCACAGGACCCATCTAGGCTCCCCAACCTCTCTGCTGAGTCCCAGGCGTTGTTCTGAGCCCTCCAACCATATCCATCCCTCATCTTGCAACTGCGGGTTTAGAGAGCTGCTCTGGTCCCCACCCTTTTCTGAGGGTCCCCGTCTGCCTCCTCTCCAGGAGGCGCTGCCTGAAGCCGAGGCAACAGCACCGCAAGCTGCAGCTCTCCGGGCCCTCTGACGGTAACAAGCGAGACCAGGCCACCTCGATGTCCCAGCTCCACCTAATCTGTGGGGGACCACTGGAGCCCGCTCCGTCAGGGGACCCCGAGGCTCCACCTCCAGGTCCCCTCCACTCAGCATTCTCCAGCTCCCGCGACTTGGCCACCTCCCGGGACGACTTCTTCCGTGCCAAGCCGCGCTCCACAGGCCGCCCGGCCGCCGAGCCGGCAAGTGCCCGCGGGGGAGAGGGTGCCGGGATGAAGGGCGCCCGCTCGGTAGAGGGTCCTGGCGGGTTAGAGTCAGGCCTGGAGGAGTACCGGCGGGGGCCCACGGGGGCCCGCGGCCTTCCTGCAGGAGCCGCCCTCACCGCCGCCGCCCTTCGAGCACTACCTGGGCCACAAGGGGGCGACCGAGAGCAAGACCCCCGACTTCCTGCTGTCGCAGTCCGTGGACCAGCTGGCGCGTCCGCCGTCGCTCAGTCAGGCCGGGCAGCTCATCTTCTGCGGCTCCATCGACCACCTTAAGGACAGTGTCTACCGCAACGTCATGCCCACGTTGGTGATCCCCGCACACTACGTGCGTCTCGGCGGCGAGGCGGGAGCAACGGGGGCGGGCGACGAGCCGGCGCCGCCAGAGGGCGCGACCCCCGGCCCGGTGCGCCCTTTTCCCCAGCCCGACCCCCAGCGCCCGCTGATGCCGGGCCACTCGGGCCCCGGGAGCGAGGGCGGTGGGGGTGGCAGCAGCGAGGGCTGGGGGGCCGGGCGCTCAGCGCCTGTCAGCGGCTCAGTCACCATCCCGGTGCTGTTCAACGAATCGACCATGGCGCAGCTCAATGGGGAGCTGCAGGCGCTGACCGAGAAGAAGCTGCTCGAACTGGGCGTGAAGCCTCACCCACGCGCCTGGTTCGTGTCCCTCGACGGGCGCTCCAACTCGCAAGTGCGCCACTCCTACATCGATCTGCAGGCGGGCGCGGCGGCCGCAGCACGGATGCCAGCCTGGACTCGGGCGTC